TGGGGAATTCTGGGAGTTGAAGTCCACACGTCTTCAAGTTGCCAAGGTTGAAAAACATTGCTGTAGACGATCCATTAAAAAAAAAAGTGTGTGTGTATGTGTGTGTGTGTGTGTGGGGGAACTCCACTGGTCATACACAATATATACAAAACTGAAGACTCACATCCAACAGCTAGCCAGTTATTTTAAGTCAACACAATAAATTCAATTCTCCTGAATTTTCAGTCTTCCTTCCCACCAACCTTTCGCAGTTCCTCCTGTCCCTGGGCCCTCCTTGAGGTTTTTCCTTCCCCCTGCTAGCTCTTTCACCTCATTGTGCCATGGGATTCACACATATTTACCCAAATGTGATGAAAACCATATATAAAACCAGCTAGCTTGCCGGATCTTTTGAGCAAAAGCCAATTTTCAAAGCAAAAGGAAAAAAAAAAAAAGAAAGTCCCACTGGGCCTCATCTTCCTGTAGATCAACAGAGGCAGCCTTTCAACCATTCCCCCCCAACCATTCCCCCTCTCCCCATTTACAGAACAGGGAAGAATTGCACCTCGGGACACTGAGTGTTTGCTAAAGGGAGCATTTAAAATAGAACCGGAGAGGGACAGCGTCTATAAAAATTATAACAGTTCCCTGTAACCATGAAACGCGTCGTGTAAACAAACAGAAATGCCACTGGGCCTTCCTCTTCTCCCTGCTGTTTTTATTTTTCTAAAATTAATTGGGTGCAAAAGGAATGTTGGGCTGCTTTTCAAGCATGGCCAGACGGTACGGAGATCTTGCCCTGCAAGGAGCAGAAGCAACCATTCATTGGGTTACCTGGAGCATGTTGAGAAGGAGACTCCGGAACTTGGTGCCTTCCACCATGAAGAGGGCCATCTTGTCACAGAGCTTGGCCGCCGTGGACGCAAAGCTACGGTCAGTCACGGCCTTCTGGTAAATGGTCTTAACAATCTCCCCCAGCATCTCCTCAGAGTTGGTGGAATTCTGGGCCTCCTCCATAAAGTTGGTGAGCTTGGAGTCCACCCCGCTGCTATTGTTATTCCTCATGCTGTTGAGGATTTCAATTAATTTGTCCATTTTGTTCCTTTGGGGGTCGGTGGACTCGACCACCACTTCGTCCTGATCCGTGAAAAGGGAAAGACAAGGCATCTGTTACGCAAGGGAGACGTGGAGGGAGAAAGAAAAGAGAAGAGAACACAGATCAGCACCTTGTGGCAAGCAATGATGGTTAGGAGGCATAAAACAAAAGCTAGGACAGAAACTGGCCTGCTCCATCTAGCGCCCTCCAGGGAATTCTGAGAGTTATGCTCCCAATACATTTGAAGGCTGCCATGTTATAAAAGTTGCAGCCGATTTTCAATGGCTGTTCTGACATGGTGCCCACTTCTAGCTAGTCTCTACTCACATTGTGGTACATCTCCATACAACCCCGGAATCAGTCTAAATTGCACCTTTCAAACGATTTAATTGACATATTCCTCTAACGAACACATTCAAATATCTGAGGACTTCTGAAAAAGTACTGCGATGCTTTCTTCAAATTCAGTGCTCTGGAAATGGAGATAACCACATCCCCTAAAAATTTGGACAGGCCTTGGTGGAGTACAAAGAATGGTCTTTTTTCTGGGCAGAAATTCGGCACTTTTAATGCCCATATGGCAGGCAGCAGTTAAAGGAATGAATAACCCCAAGAGAATACTGACATCTGGGAAGCTATGCACATTGAATTTCTGCTCATCACTTTCATTGAATTACTCTTTCCGTGTTGTGATAAATGATCACAGTCCCTCCAACCTTAGAGGTAAAATTGCATTCTAATATTAATTAACTGGCTGGCTTCAGGTAAATTGGCACAAGAAATATATGGGGCTAGAATTCAATGGTTGGTTTTCTAAGATTCATGAACTGATGCCCAGGACGTTGTTTTTAAATGGGTGCCTCTCCTGGATATGGAAGTGAGAGTATTTGGGTCAAAAACTAAGATTAGCTTTGATCTATAGGAAGCAAAAGCAACAAACGATATAGAGTGACACCAAGGGGTAGAACAGGGTATTACAGGACATTGCACTGGTTTTGTTGAAGCAGAAGAGAAATTACGAATAGGGACACTGAACGACAACAGACTTCTTTAAGACAAAATGAAGCCAAAGGCCAATATTCTCTGTAGAGATAATAATGGCAGTAACAATATATTAGTAATCATTTATATCCCACTTTTCTTTCTGGCATACAACATGATGTTCCCCAATTTCCCTACGACAAGGCCATGAAAAAGCTAACCCACTAGCAAGCGATGCATCTCAATTGGGCAGAGTCAGAATTTCATCCATGTGGATTTAAATACAACAACAACAGAGACAGCTTGTGGTGGGAATAATACACAAATATTCATATGTGGGAATAATACATAGATAACCCAGAAGATTTACTGCATAGGCTTAAGGCACTCGTTTGTGCTGCCACCCATCTACCCGCCCCCAATTTTTTCCATTTGGGAGGACTGAAAGGGAGAAATGGGTGCCTTAAGCCCTACCAAAATGCATCAAAGGCCTGAACATTTTGGTCCCGCTTACTCCAGTGGCATTGTGGTCACAAATCCCCTGTGATCCTCAGAGATCAGGTTAACGCAACTCCCAGACACAAGAAACTTGTAAAGGTCTGAAGCTTCAGCTGCTCAAGTGAGTGAGGAAGAAAGGCTAAAAGCTACCTTCTCTTTTAGCCTCCTGCGTAGCCTGTCCTTGGAAGACTGCAGCAAGTTAATTTTGGGCCGCTCGTTTCTCCGCTCATGGACGCTGTCTTTCCGCTTGCTTTCAGGGTCCTGGGCGTACTGCTGCGATGGCCTCTCGGTGGCATCGTTGCTGCGGTGCATCTCCAGAGGGATGTGCACCGTGCAGACAGAGGTATCTTCTATTTTCAGATTCTCGGTCTCTTTGGCGTTTCGGTGCGTCTCTTTGTCGTTGGGAGAGTGTTTCTGGTTGTGGTGCCACCGCCGGTTCTGGCTGTAGCCATGGTGGCCACATCGCCCTGAGGAGTGTGGCGGTTGGCCTCCTTGTGAGGGTTTCTGATGTTCTTTGTTGTGCTTAGTGGTGCCTTGCTGATGCTCTGGGTGTTGCTGTGGCTTGTTCCCCCCGGGAGCCCTTTGCTTCCTGCAAAGCAAAGCAGGAGGATCAGCACGGTTGTCTTTCTGTACATGGCCCTGAAGGGAGGCCTCCCAGACATCACACCTAGAGCACACACTGCCTAACAAAAAAACTTGTGAATCCATCTGAGGAACAATGTGCACTTTTGGCTAGTGGTGTAGATGCAGCAACCTGCATTGATGCTACTTCAGCAGGGGGCCTCTCCATCATGGGCAACGAACTTAATTTGAATTAACTCATTTGGGGGCTTACAAAATACAGTGAATTGTGAACCGACCAAACAGATATAGTGTACAATGTCAGGCTTGCAAAGTAGACCAGACCAAGAAACATTGCCACATAAGCCTAAAACTACTTTTATTAGAATGGCTGTATTAACAGAATCTTGCAAGTCTGCATGCGATTCCCCACCTCCTCCTTTTATCTTCTCAAGAATTAGGGGAGTGCCTGTCTGAGGCATTTTCATACATTTCTGTCTTTGTATGGGCTTAAGCCACGTTTATCTGTTAATTGCCTTGATCACAGATCTTCCTTCTCTCAAGGTCATCCCTCTATACTTTCTACACATTTTCTGCCAGTAGTATGACACAAACATCTGTGGTTTTGTAGAGACTAAAGAAGATGACTTTGACAGATATATGCAAAAGCTGTTGCCAAGGCAAAGGGGGTCTAAACATTTTTAAAGTCCAAAATATCCGGATAAAGTTCGGAACCGGATCAGACCAACACCTCCCTAATTCACTGAAGTATAAGAAGCGGGGGAGGTACAGCACAATTGGGCTTGCAAGATTCTATTATTATAGCCAATCTCAATAAAAGTAGTTTTAACTCTCCTGAGGAATAGATTTCAGGGTCTGGTTTACCTACCGGAGCTGACAGTTTTAATCATTAATTTTGAAAACTAACTTGTTGATGTCTGTAGTGGTTAAGGCACTGGATGGCCACTGGAGAGGCCCAGGTTCCAGTGTGCTCTCAGCCATGTATGTTCACTGGGTAACTTTAACCCAACCCAAGAGCCAGTGTGGGATAGTGGTGAAGGGCAGGGACTAGGAGTGGGGAGACCCAGGTTCTAGTTCTCCCTCAGCCACAGGATATCTGTAATGGGCTGTGAGAATAACCTTAAGAGACAGGAGGAAGAGCCACAGCCTAGACAATGGTCTGATAAGAGAAATCTGTCCAAACCAGAAATGTAATTTGAGAAAGCGTCTCAGAACTGACCTTCCCTAGTTCTCTGTAACATAAAGGCAGGGAGGGGGGAAATGCTTTCAGACTTGCAAGATTCTGTTACTGCTACCTTACAATAAAAGTAACATTAGTATTTTGGTTTTGGTTTCCTGAGCTAGACTACCTCAGAGGGCTGATAATACCTCTGGGAGGATTGAGGCCAATACTCCTCTCTCAGCTCAACCTATCTCACAGGGTTGATGGGGAGAAAAATAGGTGGCAGGATCATTACATATACCCCTCCTGTATGAAAGGCAGGATATGAATCTAATAAACAAACACACTTGGGGCTGAAAATATCCTCTGCCCCCAAAGCTTTGACTGCAACCTTCAGAAAGTTAGTACTGAATTGTAACAGATGGGCAAAATAATTAAATGCACCCCTGGAGAATAACGCTAACTATAGAAAGTTAATTAACTTTATTATATTTGTACTATGTGTGATAACCCAAATTCTCTGAGCAGATTACAAAGTTATTGAAAACATCAAAAAATCAGAAAAGACTAAATAAAAACAGGAACATGCTGTAAATAAATTTCAGCTAGATACACTTCCATGTAAGTGAAATGAAATTGAACTTCATTTTTGCCCTTGGCTTAATCCCCCCCCCCCCCACTTTTAAATGAAGCCTACAGCCTGCCTTGCAAGTAGGAAAGATGGGTCTGGCCCTGACAGGAACGATGGTGAAAATGCTGGCTATACAGTATGGAGCTAGTAATTGGTTCCAAGAGCCCTTCGGTCTTTCTGATTGTTCAGAATCAGCATTTAAATACAGAATTTTTCAAGGCACAAGTGGGTTCTCGAGATCTAGATCTTTCTGAAGGAAAGTGCAGTATTAACAGAAGCAAAGCTGTAGGTCAGATGGTTCCTGCAGTTCTCCAGCTCCCTGGAAACTCATAAAGTGCAGGGTATCCGCAAAGGGGGCTTCATTCATTTCAGGAGAAAGAGCATGAGTTATTTTAAACTTGCTGTGCAGATTCATTTTGTTTTAAAGAGAAAAAAATGTGGGACTCTGCTTAAAACATGTTTCATTGGAGGAAGCACCCCTTCCCTTTCCCTGGTGTCCCTCAGGGTGGTTTGCCGAACCGATCTTGTCCATCAAAAGTGTGTTCCTTGGCACCCAGAAAGGGTCAGATCTTAACTGTCAAGACTGGGGGTCTTGTATTTGGCTGAAGGAAGAAGGGCTGGCCTGTTCTCTGTGATAATGGAAGGAATTCATGCTTAGGTTGGAAAATTTATGAGAGTGGATTGTCTTAAAGAAACCTGGTTTCAAATCCAGGTAAGGTGTAACACTTCACCAGAGGGGAGTGTAGAGCGAAACAGATGCTTTACCAAGAGAAGTCACCCCCAGCTCTGCATTGACAGGAGATACCTTTCTGACTGGAAAAATCAAAGTCTAACAGATGTATCATCACCCAAGCTTTCACAGATCACAATCCACTTTATCAGATGTGTGGAATATGTTCCTGACTGAGCAAACTGTCCTTGGACACCTCGGAGGTTCTCTGGTGATTCCCTCATCCAAGTACTAACGAAGGCTAATCCTAGTTGAAACAAAATAAGTCCTGTTTTCCGCACTCGGGTGGGGATACGGATTAATATTTTGCAATAAAATTAGATATCTGGAAGATCTTTGAATCTATTCTCACATGTGTGAGACTTGCTGAGAACGAGGGACAAAGCTGGCAGATCACCCTAACCTTTGTGCAGTTAGAACATACCAATGGTAGCTCATGATATAGAATAAAGGAATCTAACATGAAATGATGTGTTCCCTGAATGTGCAGAATTAGGAACATCACGCATGGCCTGTGAAAGGTCCTCATCTCTCTCTCCCTCTCATTAGTTCCTTTTTATTGCACTGCCAAATTTCAGTGGCATAATTGCAAAGAGCCAATAGCTCCCATTGCATCTGCAGGAAGGAAACACATAAAAACCGAATGTCCAGTTCAGTGATGATGATGATGATGATGATGATGATGATGATGGTGACGGTGATGATAATAGTACCTTTAAAACATGAGAAATTCTGGGGCTACTCATGAGGGTGGCATGGCTGCACCCACTCTTTCCCAGTTCCTCTCAGCCCTTAAATGTGGTGCCCAATAAATACCAGGCAGCCAACTTTGGATTTAAAGAGTAGGGAACTTGGCCCATTCCAAATATTTTGGACTACAGCTCCCATAACTCTGTTGGTCATGTTGGGTAGGGATTATGGCCATTGTAGTCTAAAATGCATTTATCTGGAATTAAGTCCCATTTGACTTACTTCAGAGGAAACATGAATAGGGTTGCATAGCAAAATGTAAAAAAACCCCAAAAACAAAAACCCAAAGCTTTGAAATATTGTAAAGTCTGATCACTGGTTTTCCATGCAACAGACAGTCCAAACTTTAAAGGTTAAAAAAAAAAGGACACTGCTAATAGCAAGCAGAAAATTCAAAAGACAAAACCACAACCAGATAAACACAGAGTTGTTTGTTGGAATCTCTTTTTTAAGTATCAATTGCATACAAAATAGTTTCATTATTCCTTTTCTTGGCCCCTGACTGGCTGGCTCGCTCCTGATGTTCAGCTGAAGGTTCACAAACAGGCCCGTCAACTTCTTCAAGATCAAATATCTAGGCACCAACTAAGTTTATTTTACAATAACGCCACTCCACCCACCCTGACCCTCCCCACAGTCCCAGCTGGAGCCCGTTACCTGGACCTCTTTCACTGTCCCAGCTTTAAGAGATCATGAATTTAAATTATTCCACTAGCCCACCTCCATCCATACCCTCCCTTTCCCTCCTTCCTTCCTTCCTTCCTTCCTTCCTTCCTTCCTTCCTTCCTTCCTTCCTTCCTTCCTTCCTTCCTTC